GCGCAATGTTCGTCTTTCAGTTTTCCGCCGAAATCCGCTGGAACTGGTTTTAAATTTCGCGCGCCCCCCGGCCCGGGCCCGCCGGCCCGCCGCGCCCGCCCGGGCCCCGGGCCCGGCCCTAATTCCGCGGTTAAACGTAAAAATATAATTATTTTTTTGCCATATTTTAAATATTGTATTAATTTATTCTTTATTAAAACAAACGATGAGAAAATAATGATACGAAAAGGACGAACACTGCTTATGAAATGCAATGAAATAGATTAAGGAACGATTGGCTTATTCTTGTTCATAGCCGGTAGTTGCGATTGATGTGAGCGGAGCCAATAATTATTATTATTATCATTACTATCATTCCCTTTATCATCCTCTTTGTTGATACACCATTGACGTTAAATTTACCTTAATTTTGTACCGGCACGATAATTCGTTATTCTATTTGATCTACGATTGTCGTAAAAAATTAGCAAAACCATGATGCAAGTAAGTGCAATCTGTATCAGGTTTTTTTCAAACTTCGCACTACATGTCATTGGCAGTAAATTTTTGACAGAAAAATCTTATTGCCGGACCTTTGTAACAAAAAAGTGGATAAACCCAGTTGCTAAATATCGGGGGAAAATTCTCTAACACGTGATGTGACCAGAATCCATGTTATGTGGGTCCTTGATACCGAAAAATCGATTGACGGCAAAACGTCAGTCTCATCAGTTGGGCAGTGTGAAGGCCATCTAAGAGAATGGTGCAGGTGTCATTTTCGCTTAAATCCGTAATTTTTCGAAAATTACATGTTCACAATTTTTTTCAGTCTTCCTTTAACTAAAATATTAATGATAGATATTTTCCGTAATAAAATCCATTCCTTAAAGACAGATTTTGAAATAAAATCATTTCTCACAACTTTTCGAAAATTGTTTTGTACATTTGCGAGAAATATAGGCAATTTTTAAATTTCTTTTAGCATTTTTTTCATAAAAACTATCACCAAATTTTTGATTAAATTTTGACCTTGAATATCGTAAAGGACGATTAAGAGAGTGGTGCAGTTCACATAATCGTTAAAAAACGCTGATTTTTCGAAAATTTGCACAAATTTAAAAAGAATTTGCCGTCTTCCTAAAACAACAATTATGAATATATAATGTTTGTTTAGCTCGTATACGTATGTATATACGGAGTATGCAATGCTGCGGAATCTCGATTTCGAGATTTTAATGGAAATACAAGTTTTGGGGCCCCCTGATACCCAACTGTGTTGTTTCAAAACACCCGTCTGTGAACAACACTAGCGCATACATTTTGCGTAGGATTTTTTCCCAACTGAATAAAACCCGGTCGATCTGGCCTCATTCAAAGCTCTGAGATTTTGAAAAACTCATTAATGTGAAGCCTCTGCGGCACATTCAAAACTTTCTCAAAGATAGCTCCCAATGTTTTCTTTAAATTTCTTGTAAGAGTAATGCGAAATACACTTATAAAAGTGGCAAAAGTCCGATTTTCACTGTTATCTATGAATGTTTGAAAATTGCAGAAAATTGAATTTTTTCGGCGTCTTCCTGCAACTACAAAATTGAATATAGGGATTTTATCATCACTTAAAATTTGTTCTCCATAATTAGTTCTTTCATTAAGGTCATATACATTTTTTTTTTAAAGTTTAGTAGTATTCGCACAATATTGAGTAAAATATGTGCGAAATTAAATAAAAGAACAAAAACAAAAATTTTTCACGGCTCCAATATTTCGTAAATCCTTAGCGCCTTTACCATCCTTCTCGGTTGCGAGGATGACGGCTTCCGGGACGCAGGATTGTCTTTTGGGCCGAGCGGCCATTACCAGGGCGTAGCTTTGCGTGGCGGCCAGTGGCATCGGCTACGGCGCTTCGCTCTGAAGCGGGTGGCAACTCCTCTCATTCTTCCCGTACAACAGGCCTGCACAGCATTTTTTGGCACTTTGTGTGACCTCGAGACCCGCGCGCGAGCCACTCAAGTGCAAATGCGGAAAAATTTGACGGGTGGGGGTGAGGCAATTTCTAGGACCACCAATTAGAACGCGCAATCAACCATATTGCGTAAGTTGAAAGAACAATCGACGAGAAAGTTCATATACAGTTCAAGTAATATTGCATTTTGTATTATATTGGAATTGTTTGTTGTCGATATATGACAATGTGAAATAAGAAACAATGAATTATTCATATTTGATTTGGATCAAATATTATAATGGCTGATAATGTACTTCGGTTTGCTACGATGCAATCACAACTATAGTGTTTGGCTAAACACAAAATTATGATACTGAATTGTTTGATGATTACAGCAAGAAGCTATTTTCATTAACTATGACTAATTAAATAAGCCGATTTCCTAGAATTTGGGCTGTTACCTTCGTCGTGGAAGTGGCCCGGCAGTCTGGGCACAGAGGAGGGACTTGTCCCGGTGCATTGATATGACTCCGGTACAGGCCTGGAAAGCCGGTAGCTCTGTCTTGGCAGAGCGGCCCGATCCAAGCATCAAATGGGATGTTACTGTGAGGTCAAACGTTCTGGTGGGATCCAGATACCATGCTGTCAGCGTACTTGTGCGGCGCCGGTGGGGTGCGGAAAAAGGCGAAAAGCTTAGGTGCCCATCCCGGGGTGAATTCCCCATGGTAGAACAAGTGATTGTTGTGTCGTTGACCACGCAGGGTCTACGAATACACATTCGATACACGATACATGCCGAGTTGATGCACGATCACTATTTATCACTTCTGTAGTGAGCCCAGGGCGGGCTTCTAGGCGCACGATCTTGTGGTGCTTTCTTGGTTTTAATTACTCAGATCTAGACTCGCGGCTCATCGCCCTGCTCTCGCAACGGCCTGGAACGAGCCGCGCGGTTTTACGGGCGGCACGTGACCAGTCATCGGCCAAATCCCAAGATTCGCTGGCGGTGCGGGTGAAGTTCGCTACCACTTGCACTCGTAAAGTTCAGAAGCTTCCATTTCCTCGCCGCGCTAATCACA